CCGTGCGTGCGTGCGTCGTGCGTGTGTGAGTACAGACAAGTAATCATACAATTCGCGCACTGCACTCTCAACTTTCGCATATTCTACTTTAGCAATATCATATAGACTCTCCCCCAGTAAAGCCTTTCACATATATTATATAGCAAAACTCCCCCTCCAACAAAGCCAAGATTTCATGCCACTTATCACTATAACCAAGCGGAATGCAGTCCTTCCCAGCACACAACACATTTAGCTCAAAAATCACCATGAAATCTCTATATATATACTTGTCTAAGCAAATTTCGTGTGTTACATTCATGTATATACATGTCTATATACATATTTAACGTATACTATATACTACTATAAACGTATTACTATAGGCACTAAGTATTAGCTGATAGCACTAGTATTACTATAGTCCTAATAGTAAACTATATAGTATTACTATATACGATATATGTAATATAACATGATTATGTACGAAAATTAAATACTGAAATAATGTATGTTATCACATTCCATGCTTGGTTGTGCCTGGTGTTAGTAGTGAAGCTCATAATGGCATTTGTGAATTTTGCTAATGACGTGGATCGGGATGCAGCATGACACGCCTATCCCTCGCCAACGACGGGAGTTTATACTGTACAGATGCCGTCAGTATAGTCAGGTCAATACTGGCGTAGCATTGGTGGGGCAGAAACTGTTAGCATAAAGTAGTTATGAACAGTGATGCAGACACATGGGGTTTATTTCACTCAACAACAAAACCATCTAGACGAAACCCGCCAACATTAGTATTGATCGTGCTGTCGGTCACACATTCTATCCAAACTAAGTCTATTTATAAATACACGAAAAGCTATGACGAGAATGTAACGACTACAGTATATATACCTACTACAGATTATATATACATATATATATTTAAACAAAATTGTAAATATAGATATCGATAATACTGCAGCGTTAGCTGAAGATAAGCTTGGAGTGTCGCAGGGTTAGGTTGTGATCAGATAAGATATATATTATAATATGTGTGTATATCCCGGGGGCACTCGCCTCGGAACGGGTAGGGGGTGTCTCCGGACGCTGAAAACCTGACCCTGTCGCAACCGTTTCACGAAACTAAAATAATACCCTTATCCCAATATACTGCACCTAAAGTATACCCTGTGTCTCCAGTAGTGCATATTTCGTGTTATGTCCTGTCCTTCAATATAGGCCGAATGACCAATATCTGCCTAATTGAACCAATATCTGCCTATATTGGGCCAATCTTGGCCTGGTGATTATACGCCCAATACTTGTTTCCATATTGTCCAATATGGCTTGATGTGTGTATCTAGATAACCCTGTGCAATAAGATGTTCGAAAAATATACCTGTGCAAAACTGATGCTGGGAAAATCTCCCTGTCCATGCGGCACGTCCAGTACTACCTTACAATGGGATGCGCCCCTCCCCCCGGGTGTAAATATATATTATATTGTAATATAGATTTGATAACCCTGCAGCGTTACCGAAGATGAGCATTGATGTCCGCAGCGTAGGTTGTGATCAATAAGTACGTCTAAAAAGTATACTGAATCCTGCTGCTACCGTATACATATATTGAACAGCCTATCTTATTATAGAAATACAATATTATGCAGACAATATATATATATATATATATATATATATTTATATTAATTTATAATGAGATACTATAATATATCATCTATAAAATATAATATTATAATTATATATATAAATATCTGAAAGGACAAGGAGGACGAGAGCTAGGTGGAAAGAGTAAAACACAGACGACGGAACCATTAAAGGTTAATGAAATAGATCGAATACACACACGCCCACAGCACGCACGCACGCGCGGAGCACGTGGCACGCACTACACACCGCTCACGCACGCTGCAACGAAACGCGCCGATTGCATACACACACTACGCGCACCACACCAGAACGCGTGCACGCACACGCACAGTACGCACGCACAGCACACACACACACCGCGCACACACACACACACATCGTGCAGCACGCACGAAAAGGACAAAAAAAAAGCCGCACGCACGCACGCACGCACGCACACACAACACACACACACACACACACACACAATACACGTATCTGTGTATCGAAATAGGGCTGTCAGAGAGTGAGTGCATTTACGTGACGTACTTCGAATAAGCTTTCTCCAGTAGTGCTGTCCAGAATTCATTCTGTTCGGCGGAATGCATAAAGACCAGTTCTCCACAGTAAGTCGGCAGTCTGTCGTCAACGATGACATCCACCCACGTTCCATACTGCCAGAACTACAACAATAACCCCTTGTTACTGTGACTATTACTGCTACCACTGCTGCTACTGCTGTTACTGCTGCTGCTGCTGCTACTGCTACTGATGATGCTAGTGGTGCTGCTGCTGCTGCTGCTACTGCTGCTGCTACTACTGCTACTGGTACTACTGCTGCTACTACCGCTGGTACTACTACTGCTACTGCCGCAGGTACTACTGCTGCTACTGCCGCTGGTACTACTGCTGCTACTACCGCAGGTACTACTGCTGCTACTGCCGCAGGTACTACTGCTGCTGCTGCCACTACTGCTGCCACTGATTCATCATCATTATCATGGAGTCACTGATCTGTGACTAATTTATACACGATAGGAGTTAAACTATTATGGCCGGCTCCCGTGGCCACCATTAAACCCTACAGACAACTCATTACATGTTTACAGCACCGATGATGATGATATTTAGTACAGGGCAGGGGTGAATGCGCTACAGCATTCCCCCTCTACGTAACCTGCACTTAATGTATGCATGTTTCCAATGAATCTAAATCACTATGCCGCCACACCTAGACCCTCATCCCCTTTATTCTTGTTCATACCTGTCACACATAGCCCTCACCCCCTTTATTCTTGCCCACACCTCCCACATCCAGCACATGCATCTTCCCCATCTGCCATCACCTCCAACACTCCTCCCACTGCACTCTCACCCATCTGCCCACACCTCCCTCCCTGCACCCTGTGTCTATGCTGCACTGGTCACACACCTCCCTCCCTGCACCCTGTGTCTACGCTGCACTGGTCACACACCTCCCTCCCTGCACCCTGTGTCTACGCTGCACTGATCACACACCTCCCTCCCTGCACCCTGTGTCTATGCTGCACTGGTCACACACCTCCCCCTCCCTGCACCCTGTGTCTACTCTGCACTGGTCCCACACCTCCCCCTCCCTGCACCCTGTGTCTATGCTGCACTGGTCACACACCGTCCCCCTCCCTGCACCCTGTGTCTATGCTGCACTGGTCACACACCTCCCCCTCCCTGCACCCTGTGTCTACGCTGCACTGATCACACACCTCCCCCTCCCTGCACCCTGTGTCTATGCTGCACTGGTCACACACCTCCCCTCCCTGCACCCTGTGGTCTACTCTGCACTGATCACACACCTCCCCCTCCCTGCACCCTGTGTCTATGCTGCACTGGTCACACACCTCCCCC